GTGAGGAACTACTCTTTATAGTCGGAGTTATACTTGTAGATTTAACCACTATTATGACTATTCCACTAGTCATTACCAAAGAATGACAACTTTGGAAAAATGAACTTAAATTAGGGTTTTGAAAGAGAAAATAAAGATAGATAAGGTTTATACAGGAAAGAGTTAGTATAGATGAATATGTGCAGATGCAGTGAAAGAAAAGATGAACCTGTGCTGGCAGAAGATTAATTTATACAACAAAAAGAAGAAATTGGAGAGAATTGAAGTAGTGTTATAGGAGGTGCCTGTCTTCTGTTTTGTTTTCTATTTAAAGCAAACTTTGTTGAAGTGATGAGCGGTTGTCTCAGACTGGCTGATGGAATCACTTTGGAGTGCTGCACCCAATGTATATTTAGATTCTTGTGTAGCCAAGGAAACTGTTTTATGTAACTTGCTCTTGAACGAATAGAAGCTAAAGCAACTGGAAGAAATTATGAAGTAAAAGAGATGAACAGAACACTTCAAAGAGCAGCTTGAGAAAACACAGTATTAGAATGAAATATGTAAAGACTTGGAATTAGAAAACCAAAAGGGAAGAAGAACACACTCAGTATTCCTGAAGCTGAAAGAACTGAAGAAAAACATCAAAGCTTGACTTGAAATATTGAAGGATTCTATAGGCAAAATATCGAATGATGCAGAAAGCATCAAAATAAGATGGAATGGAGTACACAGAGTCACTGTACTAAAAGGCAATGGTCAATGTGCAACCATTTTAGAGGTAATATCTAATCAAGCACAAATAATATTGAAGGAAGAAGTACAAGTTGCACTGAAGATATTAGCAAAAAGTAGAGTTCTAGTAATTAACAGAGTTTAATCAAAAAGGTTTCAACAATCTGATGCAGTGCCGGAACTGCTCACTCATTGATGCCAAAAATTTGGAAGACAGTACTTGGCCAACCAGTTGGAAGAGATCCATATTTGTGCCCATTTCAAACAAAGATGACCCAATGGAATGCTGAAACCATCGAACAATATCATTAATATCATGTGCAAGTAAAATTTAGCTGAAGATATTCAAAACCATTATAGCAGGACATCAACAGGGAGCTGCCATAAAGTCAAGCTAGATTCAGAAGAGGATGTGGAATGATGGATATTTTTTCTGATGTCATCATGGGATGCTGGCTGAAAGCAGATAATACCAGATTTGTGTGTGTGTATGTTTTATGAACTTTGCACAGGCATTCAACTGTGTGGCTCATAACAAACTATGGATAGCGTTGACATGAATGAGAATCCCAGAACATTTCATTTTGCTCCTGAGGAACCTATAGACAAAATATTTAATTGTGCTCATAAAAAACCTGCCCACAGAACAAGAAAATATTGAATGGTTGAAAATCAGGAAAGGTGTGTTTCAGAGTTGTGTCCTTTCACCATACTTATTCAATCTGTATGCTGAGCAAATAATCTGAGATGTTAGATCATATATATGAATAAGAAAATGATATGAGGGTTGGAGGAAGACTCATAAACAATCTGGGATATACAGATGACCCAATCTTGCTTGTTATAAGTGACGAGGACTTGAATTTTTACTGATGAACATCAAAGACTACAGCCTTCAATATGGGTTGCGCATCAATGTAAAGAAACAAAATTCCTCACAACTGGACCAACATATAACACCATGATAAACAGAAAAAAGATAGAAGTTGTTTTGCTTGGATCCACGATCAGTGTTCATGAAAGCAGCAATCAAGAGATCAAAGGCTATACTGCATTAGGAAAATCTGCTGCAAAAGATGTGTTTAAAGTGTTCAAGAACAAAGATGTCAGTTTGAGGACTAAGGTAGGACTGACCCAAGCTATGGTGTTTTCAGTCCTGGAGTGGCACTGTGGAATAAAACACTGGACTGCAAGATTGGTTTGAACCACAAGGTTGGTGGTTAAAGATCACAAACTGCTGCTTGGAAACCCTATGCAAGGTCACTATGAGTCAGAACCAACTTGACAGCATTTAACCACAAAAATAACAACACTGTGCATTTGAGGAATCCTGGGGTGGTACTGTAGGATAAGCACTCAACCAAAGGTCAATTTGAACAGCAAAGTTGGCAGTTCAAACTCAGGAGCCACTCCTCAGAAATCCTATAACTGGGTCTTTATGAATCAGAATCAACTCCAAGGCACTTAACAACAACAATATGCATTTGAAAGTTGGACAATAAATAAAGAAGACCAAAGAAAAATCTATGCATTTGAATTACGGTGTTCCCAAAGAATATTGAAAATTCCATGGACTGTCTGAAGAACAAACAAATTTGTCTTGGAAGAAGTACAGTCAGAAAGCTCCTTAGAAGTGAGACTTAATTTCTTGCGCTTTGGACTTGTTATCAGATAAGTTCAGTCCCTGGAGAAGGACATCAGCCTTGATAAAATGGAGGGTCAGCGAAAAAGAGGAAGACCTCCAACAAGTTTGACTGACGCAGCATAACAGCAATTGTAAGGATGGTGCAGGATCAGGCAATGTTTCATTCTGTTGTGCATACTGTACCTATGAGTTCGAACCAACTCGATGGCACCTAACAACAATATAGTCTACAAACAAATTGAAACCCAGACTAGGGTATTTATGAATACTTTGCTCAATTATAGTATATAGTGAGAGTCAAAAATATTGTTTTAAAATATAATTATTCCCATTAACATTAAAGCAATAGTCAAAATGGATTTTTGCTTGTTTTAAATACAATCTATATAGTAATAGTACTTTGGACAAAAGACTTTTTAGGAAACTGAAAATTACAAATTACCCAGGGAGCTTTCATTTGGCATTCAAATGTTTGAGTTGATATTTCATTAATAAAAGGAATGCTCTTAAGATTGTTAGTGTTGTTGTGTACTGTTGAGTCCATACTGATTTATAGTGACTTTTTTTATTGTTGCTGTTGTTGTGAAGTGCTGTTGAGTCAGTTCCGACCCATAAAGACCCTGTATAGGGTTTCCAAGGAGCAGCTGATGAGCTTGAACCACCAACCTTGCAGTTCAACGGCTTTGCAGCCTGGCGCATTAACCCATAGCGTCACACCAGGACAGGATAGGTGGTGCACTGGCTAAAATGCTTGTCCGCTAACCAAAACATAGACTGTTTGAAGCCACCAGGCAATTTTAACTTGTACTATAGGGTCTCTAAAGAGCTCTGGTAATATAGTGGTTACAAATTGAGCTGCGAACTGCAAGGTCAGTAGTTCGAAACCATCAGCTGTTCCGCGGGAGAAAGATGAGTCTTTCTGCTTCCATAAAGACTTACAGCCTCGGAAACCCTGTACAGGGTCACTATGAGTCGGAACCGACTCCACGGCACATAACAACAACAACAATATAGAGTCTCTAAGGGTTGGAATTGACTTGATGGCAGTGTGGTTTGTGTTTTGAAATTTTTACAGGAGCAGCTAGCCAGATTTTGTTCTCCCAAAGAGTCAATGAGTAGGTTTGACCTCCAGCCTTCCTGTTAGAAGCCTAATGCTTAACCAGTATACTAAGTCCTCTAGAACAGTCAACTTTTATTAATTGCCTCAAGTGATTATATCTTTGTGTTTTAAAATATGATTAATTAAGGTTCTAATAAGATTTGTTTTGTTTTATTAGGGGACATTTAGTCCCTATAAAATGGTCACTGAAAGTATTTTAGAAAATAGTATTAACATAAATGGCTAGTCCACCATTTAAAATATTATGTACTGTTTGTGAGACAGACTTTTCTAATGTAATTTTTATATTTTCATTATAAAAATTGCACCCATATTATTGTTCATGATCAAACCAAAGAGATTGTTGTCATCCCTGTACCAGCTGGCTGCCTGGAGGAAAGATGAGTGTGAACTGGTTAATGCTTGGGGAAAGGGAAGTCTTGAGGGTGTTTGCGAGGTAGGGGGGTGACCTAATTGGGAAAGTATCTTAAAAATTACTAATCTTGAGTTCTTGCTCTTCCTAGTGTTAGGGTGACTCACTCCAAAGATAAATCTGTTCAATAAATATAAGTATAGCAAAAGTACCAAATATCTAAGTAAGCAGATAAAAATGGTAAGTCTGAATTAAATAGTCAATGTTGATAAAAATGAAAATTGTGCCAGATTTCTTTATATTTCCCTTGATGGTGATCTGCTGTTGTGACTGAGCATTCTGCTCCTCCTTCTTTTACTCCTGCTGCTTCTGAGTCTTCGTCTCCTCTCCTTTTTCACTTTCTCCTTCAAATTCTCCTTCCCCTTTTCTTTCAACAGCTTTTACTCACATTTCAGTAACTTACTTAATTACAATGAGTACAATTGGGTCCATTAAATCGTAACACTTAAGACAAAATGTACATTAATTCTTATTGACTTATATAATGATATCTTGTAAAACTATTGAATTTTTTAAAACAACTTGGCTCTTGCTAAATTGAATGCTTAACATTGACTGCAAGAATCTTAAAAAGAGTCCAAACCATATCTGGACACCTGCCCAGTTTTAGACTCTGGGCTAGCAGTCCATGTGGCTGTATGCGAATGGCTAGATTTGAAGAGTTTATTATGTGTTACAAACAAATTCCAGCTTTCACTGTGAGAGTTTTATGTATGGGACAACTGTTAATAAATGGAAACATAAATAAGTGCCCGTGCTATAAATAGACAATTTAGCTCTTCTGACAACAATCATTATTAAACCAGTTTCTGAAATTAGAAAATTCATATTGCCAGCTAATCCTACTAATTTATTCTATAGCACTAATTTATGCATGTTGCCCCAAAGTGGACACTTTTTAGCTTCATTATTCTATACACAAAGATAAAATGGTAATACAATATTCATTTTTAATTTGGTGATCTTCTTCAAGTAATATAATTTCGCCATAACTTGGCCTTTTCAACCAAAAATGTCAAAATTCAAGTTTAAGACATGTTGCAGCCATGGCATTAATACTAATGGATTTATGTGTGTGTGGTTTTGTTGGTGTTGATCACCTCCTCCAGATGTGGATGTCATCGAATGCTCCTTGCAGTTCCCAGATGACAACTATTCCTGGTGGGATCTCTTCATGAAGATCTGCGTCTTTGTCTTTGCCTTTGTGATCCCAGTTCTCATTATCATCGTCTGCTACACTCTGATGATCCTACGCCTGAAGAGTGTCCGGCTTCTTTCTGGGTCACGAGAGAAAGATCGCAACCTTCGCCGGATCACCAGACTTGTCCTAGTGGTAGTGGCTGTCTTCATCATCTGTTGGACTCCCATTCACATCTTCATCTTGGTAGAGGCTCTGGGGAACACCTCCCACAGCACTGCGGCCCTCTCCAGCTACTACTTCTGCATCGCCTTGGGATACACCAACAGCAGCCTGAACCCCATCCTTTATGCCTTCCTTGATGAGAATTTCAAACGGTGTTTCCGGGATTTCTGCTTTCCCATTAAGATGAGGATGGAGCGCCAGAGCACTAGTCGAGTCAGAAATACAGTTCAGGATCCTGCTTATATGCAGGATGTGGGTGGGATAAATAAGCCAGTATGACTAGTCGTGGAGATGTCCTCTTATAGTTCTGTCGAAAGGGAAGGATTCAATGATCTAGATTCAACTCAGATTATGACCACAGTCTGAGACGGAGAGAGAGGACATTTGAAACAAATGTTCAGAAATCTTGTGGTCTGAAATTAGCAGTTACCAGCCCAGGTCAGTGAAAGCAGAAAGCCAGATGGACTGAACAAAAAGAGTCACCATCATATGCAAGCCCTCTCTACAGTAGGAAAGTAAGTCTGATTTCATTTCCCTGGTAAACAAAGAAACAAACATTTTTGCTCTGTTTACCTAGCTCTCTCATCCATCACCCTTCTGCTGTGGCCTTCATATGCAATGTGGTTTCAAAGGCTTTCTTTAGAAAAATGACAAAGAGAAGGTTGGTTTCAGAGCTTAGTGGATATCCATTTGAGATGCTAAACATTGACTGCAACAACCTTACAAAGAATCAAAATCATTTCTGGACACCTGCCTAGTTTTATACTCTATGGGCTAGGATTCCATGTGGCCATATGTGGAAAATTTCAGCTTGCATGTGCCTTGGACCCACACCTGATATGTCTGATCTACCTGTGTAACAGAACATTATATTGGTGAAACTATTTAAACATGCTGAAGGTAGTTTCTAACAGAGTACACATTTTTTGTAACTAATGATGTGTTTTTAGCATGTTATTCTCATAAATAATCTTGTGATAAAACATGTCCTAATGTCAAATAACATAAAATGGTTTAAATATGACACTAAGTGTAACTAGTTTCATCTGTAAATATAGTAAATGTACACATAAGGAATGGACTTCCTTCAAGCTAGATTACTTCCTGAGATACTGCTAATGATATGCCCCATTGCTTAGAGCTGATGTTGAAAAGTTTTCCAACTGCATCAGCTATTCTCCGGAATCAGCAGGATCACCCATGGTGGACAGGTTTCAGCTGAGCTTGCAGATGAAGGCAGATTAGGAAGAAGGAGAGACAGACTATTTCTGAATATTTACTCACTGAAAACCTTGTGACTAGCAGTGGAGCACTGTAGCACTAGATTATTGACTATCAAAATATAATGAAGAGCACTAGAATATTGTCAGATACAGTGCTGGAAGATGAGACCCTCAGGTTGGAAGGCACTCAAAATGTGACTGTTTCCTCAAAGTAGGGTTAACTGTGATGAAGTGAATGGAGTAAAGCCCTTCAGACCTTCATTTGCTGATGGGTCACCGTTACTCTGATTCCCTAAGCACCTTTTAGCACTTTACCAGTGCTTATAACGTGCATGTACAAGTGTCTAACTCACTCTCAGGCTCCAGCTCTAGGTAGAATCTAGTATATTTGCAGCATCTCTTTACCAAATTCTCTCTCTTCACGGATGGTAGGGGGTTTTGCATATGTAGACCTTGGGATACTATTTAATAGCTTTCAATATAAAGTAAAATTGTTCATAAATGCAGGCAGAATGAGGACATTATGCATCTCATAGTGCCAGGACATACCTTGAACCGTGTTCTACAAAGAGCACACCTACTGGAGATAATGCCGTGAGCAGCACATTTAGGGTAATTTTGCTAAAAATTCCAGATGACATATAAATTCCTTTTTTTTCCCCCTCCTGAAAGGTAATGGTGCCTGAAGTAATGGCTTTTTTGTATAGTTTGGATCAGCAAAAGAAAGGGATCATTTAGAAATAACACCCACCTTTTAAATTCTGTACATTATGAGGGCGATAGTCTCTGGAATTTAGTAGGAAAATCAAATATGTAGTCCTATATAGTTCTACACATCACTGCACCTATAAGTTCTGGTAAAAATATTTGTGTATATACTTTCTTTTTGGAAACAAAACCTTGCATTGAATGTTTTATGTCTGGCTGCAGAACTTTACTATGATCATGTTTTGCATTTTCATGGTACCTAACACCACATATGACGTATGTCGGTATGGCAAGGTTCTTTCTTGATTAAAACTGATGGACTTTTTTGAGCATTCCTTTAATTTCATTGAAATTCTTGTGTGTTCTTGTATTAAAAATAAATGCAAATAGTAATGGCTTAAATATTTGTTGACATTAACCATATAGTGAAAAAATCTTGGCTAGCATTCAAAAGGGATATCTATATACAAAGAGAGTTATTCCAGGAAAAAAAATTCTTATGAAACTACAAAACCCAGGAGATTTTCATGATAAATTTTTAGGCAGAGCAAAAATGTAACAGAGATACAATCATGAAATGAAATTCTAGAAATGTGTTCTCTTAAAAATAACATTCTTCATAGGATTCAGCACCACTATCAGAGTCTGACCTTTTACCTGACCATTCTGCTTGTCTTAGAATCTAAGTTTTCAGGAAAGAAAAGAGAGAAATTGACCATGAATGTCCATTAATGATGTTCTAAGATCCTCTGTTATTGTTAACACCCTTTCCCCAAATTTAAAGAGGAAGTAATAAGATAGACATATAATTTTAGGTCATTATCAGAGTCGCTATGGGTCAGAATGGACTCAACAGCACTTCACACCACCACCAACAGTACCTGGTGTAGCTTTGCAGGATAAACAGGAGACTGCAAATCACAAGGTCAGTGGTTCAAACCCACCAGTCACACCTTGGAAAGTGTGTGACCCTTTGCAGGTTAACTATGAGTCAGAACCAACTTCTGACACTTAACAACAACAACACTAAGGGGACATAAATAGCAACTGGATGGACGGAATATGCTGGATGAGGGCCGCAATAGATAGAATACACAGCAATCAAATTGGCTGCATCTATATAGAGAGTCGATGGAGAAATACAATAACAGTACTCAGAAACAAGCTAGTGTTGAATGCAGAACAAACAATTACTAATATATAAATTCAAGTTGAAGTTAAAGAAAGTTAAAAGAAGAAAATGACAGTCAAAGTATGACCTTGAGTATTCTACCCAAATTTATAAACCATCTCAGTGATAGATTTGACATGTTGAACCATAATAACTGAAAACCAGAGAAGTTGTGAGATTACATCTAGTATATCTTAAATGAAAGTAAAAGTTCAATAAAGAGACAGGAAAGAGAGAAAAGACCAACATAGTCAGAAGAGACTATGAAACTTGCTTCTGAATGTAGAAAACCTAAGGTGAATGGGAAAAATGATGAAATAAGAGCTGAACAAAAAATTGCAAAGGCTAGTTCAAAAAGACAAAATAAAGTATTCTAATAAAATATGCAAAGATCGGGAGTTAGTAAGCCAAAAGGGGAAAATATATTCAGTAGTTCTCACACTGAAGGAACCGAAGAAAACATTTAAGCCCTCAAATTGCAATATTGAAAGATTCTGACTCCTGGTGTGACACTGTAGGATAACCACTGGACTGTGAACCCCAAGGTCATAAGTTCAAACCAACCAACTGCTCCTTAGAAATCCTACATAGGGTCACTATGGGTCAGAACTAACTGACAGCACTTAACAACAACAACAGCATAGACAAAATATAGAATGATGCAAAAAGCATCTTAAAAAGTGGAAAGGAACACACAGAGCATTGTACTAAAAAGAATTGATCGACATTCAACCATTCCAGAAGGTAGCATATGATCAAGAGCCAATGATACTGAAGGAAGAAGTTCTAGCTTCACTGAAGGCATTGGCAAATAACAAGACTTCAGGAACACAAAGAATCCTAATTGAGATTTTTTAACAAACAGATGTAACACTAGAAGTGTTCCCTGTCTATGTCAAGAGATTTGGAAGAGTGCTACCTCGCCAGCTGACTAGAAGAGATCCATATTTGTTCCCATTTCTAAGAAAGGTGATCCAATGGAATCCAAACAGTATTGAATATCATTAATATGTCACATAAAATTTTGCTGACAATAATTTTAAAATAGTTGCAATAGTACATAAAAAGGGAGCTGCCAGAAATTCAAGCTGAATTCAAAAGAGGACATGGAAGAGAGATATTGCTGATGTTAGATGGATCTTGGTTGAAAGCAGGGAGTTGTTCACCTGTGTTTTATTGACTATGCAAAGACTGTGTGGATCATATCAAATACTGGATAACACAGGAAAGAATGGAAATTTCAAAATACTTAATTGTGCTTATGGGAAACCTGTGCAATCGTTTGAACAGAACAAGGTGATACTGCATGATTTAAAATCAAGAAAGGTATGTGCCAGAGTTGTATCCTTTCACCATACTTAATCAGTATGCTGAGCAAATCATCTGGATATGAAGAAGAATGTGGCATTAGGATTAGAGGAAGACTCATTTGTTTAGCAATCTGTGACATGCAGATGATAAAACCTTGTTTGTTGAAAGTGAAGAAAACTTGAAGCATTTACTGATGAATGTCAAAGATATAAAGAAATTATGGATTAAACCTTGACATAAAGAAAACAAAAGTCCTCATCATGATAAATAAGCAACACCATGATAAATGAAGATAAGATTAAAGCTGTCAAGAATTTAATTTTATCTGGATCCACAATCAACATTTGTAGAAGCAACAGTCAAAAAAAAAAAAATCAAAGTATTGCATCTGGCAAATCTACTGCAAAAGACCTCTTCGTTGTTGTTAGGTGCCATCGAGTCACTTCCTACTCATAGTGACCTTATGCACAACAGAAGGAAACACCTCCCAGTCCTGTGCCATCTTCACAATAATTGTTAGGCTTGAGTCCATTGCTGCTGCCACTGTGCCAATCAATTTAATTGTGGGTCTTCCTCTTTTTTGCCAACCTTCCACTCTGTTGTTGTTATGTGCTGTGGAGTTGGAACCGGCTCATAGCAACCCTGCACAGGGTTTCCGAGACTGTAAATCTTTACGGGAGCAGAAAGCCTCATCTTTCTCCCGTGGAACAGCTGGTAGTTTCAAACTGCTGACCTTAAGGTTCGCAGCCTGATTTGTAATCAGCACGTTACCAAAGCTCCTTCCACTTTACCAAGCACTATGTCCTTCCCCAGGTACTGGTTCCTCCTGATAATATGTCTGAAGTATAAAAGTCTCACCATCCTGACTTATAAGGAACAATCTGGCTGTACGTCTTCCAACACAGATTTATTTGTTCTTCTAGGAGTCTATTATACTTTTTACTATTTTT